TACTTTTACTTTTACTAAAGTCGTGTTTTTGTTTATTTCTTTATTTTATTTACTCAACAAAAAAACAACGTAAGGTAAACATAAACAACATTCTTGTTTGGATGAAAGGTGCAGAGAGAAGAAACGTCCTGTCTTGTCTGCCGGGACAGTCCACCTGGGACTGGGAGGTCGGGGTTCGATTACCCGTCAGGTCAGACCCGATGCCTCAGCTTTCAGGGGTTGGACCACCAGGTGGTTCCTGAGCACAGCCGCTGCTGCAGCCCCCCCCCATCTATAGTCTCCTCACATATAACAAAACCCAGACCAGTCACAGAAAACAACCCTACTCTAGTTTTATTTCCATGCTCCCTCACGACACGTTTCACACACATTTAACACATTCAGTGACGTTGATCCTCTCATTAGTGATTCCACAGTGGAGCACCATGACGTCTTTATTCTAGTGAGAAATCTGGGAATGTTTCAGGTCCTTTCAGCAAATGTCCACTAGTCCTCTTGCCAAACATTAACTAAACTACCCGGTGAGCTGACCAAATCCCGAAGCTTCAGTCGTTTACATGAGTGATCCTTACTGGTTATGTAGGGCTCCCATGTCAGGGTCAGTGCTTGCTTCTCATTGAGTTTCTCTGTTTCCAGAAGGTCTGGAGGAACCAGTGAAGGTGCTTGAGATGGAAAATGGAGCTTATGAATGTAATTATTACCCAGTAATGGTGGGAACATACCTGGTAACTGTCACATGGGGAGGACACGGCATCTCGCGCAGGTGAGAGGACTGCAGCCCTCTAACGTTACACATTTGTATGTAGTGCTCAGATGATGTCCTGATAAAAGTGAACTGTAGCGGGCTGAGGACGGATCCCTGATGTTCCCCCAAACAGTCTCTTTTGTGTGTTTGTGAACATGTTACCTGTTCAGCTATGAGACATTTTCTGTTTCAGCCCCTTTGAGGTGTACGTAGGTGAGGAGGCGGGGCCTCAGAAGGTAAGGGCCTGGGGTCCAGGTCTGGAGACTGGAATGGTTGGGAAGAGTGGTGACTTTGTGGTGGAGGCCATTGGAACAGAAGTGGGAACTCTAGGTATGTAAGCCCTCAGTCCTGCTCTTTGATGATGAGTGTGTTACCTGTTTGCACCTGTATTCACCTGTTTACACCTGTATTCACCTGTTTACACCTGTATTCACCTGTTTACACCTGTATTCACCTGTTTACACCTGTATTCACCTGTTTACACCTGTATTCACCTGTTTACACCTGCATTCACCTGTTTACACCTGTATTCACCTGTTTACACCTGTATTCACCTGTTTACACCTGTATTCACCTGTTTACACCTGTATTCACCTGTTTACAACTGTATTCACCTGTTTACACCTGCATTCACCTGTTTACACCTGTATTCACCTGTTTACACCTGTATTCACCTGTTTATACCAGTATTCACCACACCAGAACCAGCAGAACCATAAACCATCTGCTCCTCCTTCAATGGTCACTTGTCTTCTACTCGGTTTGCGTTGAAGACCAGGTTCACAGAGGAACCATGTTTAGTGATTATCTCTAATTCTAACAGGTCACTCTGAGTGCCTCATGGTGGCTGAACACAAAAATAGTCTCCTACACCTATCTCCTGCAGTAGTTTCTGGTAGAAAATAGTCTCCTACACCTATCTCCTGCAGTAGCTTCTGGTAGAAAATAGTCTCCTACACCTATCTCCTGCAGTAGCTTCTGGTAGAAAACAGTCTCCTACACCTATCTCCTGCAGTAGCTTCTGGTAGAAAATAGTCTCCTACACCTATCTCCTGCAGTAGCTTCTGGTAGAAAACAGTCTCCTACACCTATCTCCTGCAGTAGCTTCTGGTAGAAAACAGTCTCCTACACCTATCTCCTGCAGTTGCTTGTGGTAGAAAATAGTCTCCTACACCTATCTCCTGCAGTAGCTTCTGGTAGAAAACAGTCTCCTACACCTATCTCCTGCAGTAGCTTCTGGTAGAAAACAGTCTCCTACACCTATCTCCTGCAGTTGCTTGTGGTAGAAAATAGTCTCCTACACCTATCTCCTGCAGTAGCTTCTGGTAGAAAACAGTCTCCTACACCTATCTCCTGCAGTAACTTCTGGTAGAAAACAGTCTCCTACACCTATCTCCTGCAGTCGCTTCTGGTAGAAAACAGTCTCCTACACCTATCTCCTGCAGTCGCTTCTGGTAGAAAACAGTCTCCTACACCTATCTCCTGCAGTAGCTTCTGGTAGAAAATAGTCTCCTACACCTATCTCCTGCAGTAGCTTCTGGTAGAAAACAGTCTCCTACACCTATCTCCTGCAGTAGCTTCTGGTAGAAAACAGTCTCCTACACCTATCTCCTGCAGTTGCTTGTGGTAGAAAATAGTTTCCTACACCTATCTCCTGCAGTAGCTTCTGGTAGAAAACAGTCTCCTACACCTATCTCCTGCAGTAGCTTCTGGTAGAAAACAGTCTCCTACACCTATCTCCTGCAGTTGCTTGTGGTAGAAAACAGTCTCCTACACCTATCTCCTGCAGTAGCTTCTGGTAGAAAACAGTCTCCTACACCTATCTCCTGCAGTAACTTCTGGTAGAAAACAGTCTCCTACACCTATCTCCTGCAGTCGCTTCTGGTAGAAAACAGTCTCCTACACCTATCTCCTGCAGTCGCTTCTGGTAGAAAACAGTCTCCTACACCTATCTCCTGCAGTCGCTTCTGGTAGAAAACAGTCTCCTACACCTATCTCCTGCAGTAGCTTCTGGTAGAAAACAGTCTCCTACACCTATCTCCTGCAGTAGCTTCTGGTAGAAAATAGTCTCCTACACCTATCTCCTGCAGTAGCTTCTGGTAGAAAATAGTCTCCTACACCGATCTCCTGCAGTAGCTTCTGGTAGAAAACAGTCTCCTACACCTATCTCCTGCAGTAGCTTCTGGTAGAAAATAGTCTCCTACACCGATCTCCTGCAGTAGCTTCTGGTAGAAAACAGTCTCCTACACCTATCTCCTGCATCAGCTTCTGATAGATAATAGTCTCCTACACCTATCAGCTGCAGTAGCTTCTGGTAGAAAATTGTCTCCTACACCTATCTCCTGCAGAAGCTTCTGGTAGAAAATAGTCTCCTACACCTATCTCCTGCAGTAGCTTCTGATAGAAAATAGTCTCCTACACCTATCTCCTGCAGTAGCTTCTGATAGAAAATAGTCTCCTACACCTATCTCCTGCAGTCGCTTCTGGTAGAAAACAGTCTCCTACACCTATCTCCTGCAGTAGCTTCTGGTAGAAAACAGTCTCCTACACCTATCTCCTGCAGTAGCTTCTGGTAGAAAATAGTCTCCTACACCGATCTCCTGCAGTAGCTTCTGGTAGAAAACAGTCTCCTACACCTATCTCCTGCATCAGCTTCTGATAGATAATAGTCTCCTACACCTATCAGCTGCAGTAGCTTCTGGTAGAAAATTGTCTTCTACACCTATCTCCTGCAGAAGCTTCTGGTAGAAAATAGTCTCCTACACCTATCTCCTGCATCAGCTTCTGATAGATAATAGTCTCCTACACCTGTCTCCTGCTGTAGCTTCTGATAGATAATAGCCTCCTACACCTATCTCCTGCAGTAGCTTCTGGTAGAAAATAGTCTCCTACACCTATCTCCTGCATCAGCTTCTGATAGAAAATAGTCTCCTACACCTATCTCCTGCTGTAGCTTCTGGTAGATAATAGTCTCCTACACCTATCTCCTGCATCAGCTTCTGGTAGCAAATAGTCTCCTACACCTATCTCCTGCAGTAGCTTCTGGTAGAAAATAGTCTCCTACACCTATCTCCTGCAGTAGCTTCTGGTAGAAAATAGTCTCCTACACCTACCTCCTGCAGTAGCTTCTGGTAGAAAATAGTCTCCTACACCTACCTCCTGCAGTAGCTTCTGGTAGAAAATAGTCTCCTACACCTATCTCCTGCAGTAGCTTCTGGTAGACAATAGTCTCCTACACCTATCCTGCATCAGCTTCTGATAGAAAATAGTCTCCTACACCTATCTCCTGCTGTCGCTTCTGGTAGAAAATTGTCTCCTACACCTATCTCCTGCAGTAGCTTCTGGTAGAAAACAGTCTCCTACACCTATCTCCTGCAGTAGCTTCTGGTAGAAAACAGTCTCCTACACCTATCTCCTGCAGTAGCTTCTGGTAGAAAACAGTCTCCTACACCTATCTCCTGCAGTAGCTTCTGGTAGAAAACAGTCTCCTACACCTATCTCCTGCAGTAGCTTCTGGTAGAAAATAGTCTCCTACACCTATCTCCTGCAGTAGCTTCTGATAGATAATAGTCTCCTACACCTATCACCTGCAGTAGCTTCTGGTAGAAAATAGTCTCCTACACCTATCTCCTGCAGTAGCTTCTGGTAGAAAACAGTCTCCTACACCTATCTCCTGCTGTAGCTTCTGGTAGATAATTGTCTCCTACACCTATCTCCTGCATCAGCTTCTGGTAGAAAATAGTCTCCTACACCTATCTCCTGCAGTAGCTTCTGGTAGATAATAGTCTCCTACACCTATCTCCTGCAGTAGCTTCTGGTAGAAAATAGTCTCCTACACCTATCTCCTGCATCAGCTTCTGATAGATAATAGTCTCCTACACCTATCTCCTGCAGTAGCTTCTGGTAGAAAATAGTCTCCTACACCTATCTCCTGCAGTAGCTTCTGGTCGAAAATAGTCTCCTACACCTATCTCCTGCAGTAGCTTCTGATAGATAATAGTCTCGTACACCTATCTCCTGCATCAGCTTCTGATAGAAAATAGTCTCCTACACCTATCTCCTGCAGTAACTTCTGATAGATAACAGTCTCCTACACCTATCTCCTGCAGTAACTTCTGATAGATAACAGTCTCCTACACGTATCTCCTGCATCAGCTTCTGATAGAAAATAGTCTCCTACACCTATCTCCTGCTGTAGCTTCTGGTAGATAATAGTCTCCTACACCTATCTCCTGCAGTAGCTTCTGATAGATAATAGTCTCCTACACCTATCACCTGCAGTAGCTTCTGGTAGAAAATAGTCTCCTACACCTATCTCCTGCAGTAGCTTCTGGTAGAAAATGGTCTCCTACACCTATCTCTTGCATCAGCTTCTGATAGATAATAGTCTCCTACACCTATCTCCTGCTGTCGCTTCTGGTAGAAAATAGTCTCCTACACCTATCTCCTGCAGTAGCTTCTGGTAGAAAACAGTCTCCTACACCTATCTCCTGCATCAGCTTCTGATAGATAATAGTCTCCTACACCTATCACCTGCAGTAGCTTCTGGTAGAAAATAGTCTCCTACACCTATCTCCTGCAGTAGCTTCTGGTAGAAAACAGTCTCCTACACCTATCTCCTGCAGTAACTTCTGATAGATAATAGTCTCCTACACCTATCTCCTGCATCAGCTTCTGATAGAAAACAGTCTCCTACACCTATCTCCTGCAGTAACTTCTGATAGATAATAGTCTCCTACACCTATCTCCTGCATCAGCTTCTGATAGATAATAGTCTCCTACACCTATCTCCTGCATCAGCTTCTGATAGATAATAGTCTCCTACACCTATCACCTGCAGTAGCTTCTGGTAGAAAATAGTCTCCTACACCTATCTCCTGCAGTAACTTCTGATAGATAATAGTCTCCTACACCTATCTCCTGCATCATCTTCTGATAGAAAATAGTCTCCTACACCTATCTCCTGCAGTAGCTTCTGATAGATAATAGTCTCCTACACCTATCTCCTGCAGTAACTTCTGATAGATAATAGTCTCCTACACCTATCTCCTGCATCAGCTTCTGATAGAAAATAGTCTCCTACACCTATCTCCTGCTGTAGCTTCTGGTAGATAATAGTCTCCTACACCTATCTCCTGCAGTAGCTTCTGGTAGAAAACAGTCTCCTACACCTATCTCCTGCATCAGCTTCTGATAGAAAATAGTCTCCTACACCTATCTCCTGCTGTAGCTTCTGATAGATAACAGTCTCCTACACCTACCTCCTGCAGTAGCTTCTGGTAGAAAACAGTCTCCTACACCTATCTCCTGCAGTAGCTTCTGATAGATAATAGTCTCCTACACCTATCACCTGCAGTAGCTTCTGGTAGAAAATAGTCTCCTACACCTATCTCCTGCAGTAGCTTCTGGTAGAAAACAGTCTCCTACACCTATCTCCTGCAGTAGCTTCTGGTAGATAATTGTCTCCTACACCTATCTCCTGCATCAGCTTCTGGTAGAAAATAGTCTCCTACACCTATCTCCTGCAGTAGCTTCTGGTAGAAAATAGTCTCCTACACCTATCTCCTGCAGTAGCTTCTGGTAGAAAATAGTCTCCTACACCTATCTCCTGCATCAGCTTCTGATAGATAATAGTCTCCTACACCATCTCCTGCAGTAGCTTCTGGTAGAAAATAGTCTCCTACACCTATCTCCTGCAGTAGCTTCTGGTAGAAAACAGTCTCCTACACCTATCTCCTGCAGTAGCTTCTGATAGATAATAGTCTCCTACACCTATCTCCTGCATCAGCTTCTGATAGAAAATAGTCTCCTACACCTATCTCCTGCAGTAACTTCTGATAGATAACAGTCTCCTACACCTATCTCCTGCATCAGCTTCTGATAGAAAATAGTCTCCTACACCTATCTCCTGCTGTAGCTTCTGGTAGATAATAGTCTCCTACACCTATCTCCTGCAGTAGCTTCTGATAGATAATAGTCTCCTACACCTATCACCTGCAGTAGCTTCTGGTAGAAAATAGTCTCCTACACCTATCTCCTGCAGTAGCTTCTGGTAGAAAATGGTCTCCTACACCTATCTCCTGCATCAGCTTCTGATAGATAATAGTCTCCTACACCTATCTCCTGCTGTCGCTTCTGGTAGAAAATAGTCTCCTACACCTATCTCCTGCAGTAGCTTCTGGTAGAAAACAGTCTCCTACACCTATCTCCTGCATCAGCTTCTGATAGATAATAGTCTCCTACACCTATCACCTGCAGTAGCTTCTGATAGATAATAGTCTCCTACACCTATCTCCTGCAGTAGCTTCTGGTAGAAAACAGTCTCCTACACCTATCTCCTGCAGTAACTTCTGATAGATAATAGTCTCCTACACCTATCTCCTGCATCAGCTTCTGATAGAAAATAGTCTCCTACACCTATCTCCTGCATCAGCTTCTGATAGATAATAGTCTCCTACACCTATCTCCTGCATCAGCTTCTGATAGATAATAGTCTCCTACACCTATCTCCTGCATCAGCTTCTGATAGATAATAGTCTCCTACACCTATCTCCTGCAGTAGCTTCTGATAGATAATAGTCTCCTACACCTATCTCCTGCAGTAACTTCTGATAGATAATAGTCTCCTACACCTATCTCCTGCATCAGCTTCTGATAGAAAATAGTCTCCTACACCTATCTCCTGCTGTAGCTTCTGGTAGATAATAGTCTCCTACACCTATCTCCTGCATCAGCTTCTGGTAGAAAATAGTCTCCTACACCTATCTCCTGCAGTAGCTTCTGGTAGAAAATAGTCTCCTACACCTATCTCCTGCATCAGCTTCTGATAGAAAATAGTCTCCTACACCTATCTCCTGCATCAGCTTCTGGTAGAAAATAGTCTCCTACACCTATCTCCTGCTGTAGCTTCTGGTAGAAAGGCAGCATCCCAGAGCCCAGGGACCGCTACAGAGCAGCCCCGTCTCCTCTGAGCTCACGTCTCGTCCTCCAGACTTCCAGGAGCGTCCTATCAGCCGACCTCAGAGCGGGGGAGGAAACACCAGTAGCTCATCTGGAGCGAGGCCTTCATCTACACTAGAGACCGCTGCAGAACTTCACTCCTTCTTGTGTTGACTGACCGACGTTGGTGTGCAGGTTTCTCCATCGAAGGCCCCTCTCAGGCGAAGATCGAGTGCGACGATGAAGGCGACGGATCGTGTAACGTCCACTATTGGCCAACTGAAGCCGGCGACTATGCCGTCCATGTCATATGTGATGATGAGGACATCAAGGACAGCCCTTTCATGGCTCACATCCTTCCTGCTGCCAACAACGTGTTTCCTGAGAAGGTCGGTGCAGAGCGAAGCTGGATCTACCAACTCCTCAGGTGTTTAATGTGAAACCTGATCCACCGAGTGCTTTCTGCTCCTCAGGTCAGGTGTTACGGTCCCGGTCTGGAGCCTCTGGGCTGCATCATCCACAAACCAGCTGACTTCACCATCGACACCAATGAAGCTGGCAGAGGAGAGCTGAAGGTCTATGCTCAGGTCAGAAGTGCCAGGTTCTGGACTCTAACACCAACACCATCGTCATCCTCTCCTCCTGGCTCAGGCTGTGAAATCTGTTCCTGCAGGACGCAGATGGCTTTCCGGTCGACATTCAGATTACAGACAACGGGGACTTCACCTACCTCTGTGTTTACATTCCCACCAAGCCCATCAAGCACACCATCATCATCACCTGGGAAGAAGTCACCGTACCCAACAGCCCGTTCAGGGTATGAACGCCTGCAGCTAACCCCGAACCGCTCTCCTCCAGCCTGTAGGGTCGGTCCTGCTTCTGGATGGTAGCTTCTCAGACGGGTTGTAGACCAGAGGGTGAAATCCAGAAAGATCAGCGTTCTCTTCATTAAAAAGGTTGAGTCTGCTGTCCAGCTGGATGTGCTCCGTATGACTGGACTCTGATGTTTAGGTGATGATTGGAGAGGGCAGCCATCCAGAGAGCGTGAGAGTTTACGGTCCAGGAGTGGAGATGACGGGACTGAAAGCCAACGAGCCGACGTACTTCACTGTGGACTGCAGCGAGGCGGGACAAGGTGAGACAGACCAGGTCCAAACTCTTTAGGTTGTCTTCCACGGGAACACGGAGGAACACCGGGAATCACCTCCTTGACTCGTGGTGTGTGGAAGAAACATTTAGGTGTTAAATCTCGTTCAAGCTGAAGGATTTTAGCGTTAAAAAATCCTTTCTGGACGTCACATCTTTAGAACCACCCACTAGTCGAGATGCACACGCAAGCATCTTTACACCTCAGGTCCTCCCGGTTTCTTCCAGGTGATGTCAGCATCGGGATCAAGTGTGCTCCGGGTGTGGTGGGACCAGCAGAGGCTGACATTGACTTTGACATCATCAAGAACGACAACGACACGTTCACGGTGAAGTACACGCCTCCAGGTGCAGGCCAGTATACCATCATGGTGCTGTTTGCTGATCAGGTGAGAGCTCCAGCAGGTAAAGCATCTTTGATACATGCTCCTGAAGGTAAAACGCTGAAAAATCTCATCTTCAATGCTGAATACAGGAAATCCCCATCAGCCCCTTCAGAATAAAAGTGGATCCTTCCCATGATGCAGCTAGAGTCAGAGCAGAGGGACCTGGGCTCAACAGGACAGGTGATTCTGTGTGAAACAACCACAAATACATGTTTTTAAAGCTGTCCAGGCCAGGGCCCTCACTCATCAAGCTAGCTTACGCACAAAACGGGGTCGGACAACTGCGTAAGCAACTTTCCACGCTAACTTTTGGATTTATGAAAGAAAACGTAGCAGAAAATGTGCTGACCAAGGACCTGGCTTACACACCTGTTGGACATGGAGAGCACCTGCAGTGCTGCTGAGAAGGACACACACACACACACACCAAAGATGAACTAGTGGTAGCACATTGTTCCATGTTCTCGTGTTAACCATGCATGAGTTTTAACACCACATGGATCATCTGTGAAGCTTGACCTGACGTGCTCTTGGTTCTGAGATGAGCAGGTGTGGAGGTTGGAAAACCGAGTCACTTCAACATCTACACGAAAGGAGCAGGAAAAGCCAAACCGGAGGTTGGTTTCATCGGAGCCACTGATGGTGAAGCTGTTCGAGACTTTGAGGTCATCGACAACCACGACTATTCGTACACCGTGCGGTACACCGCCCTGCAGCAGGTACGGCAGCGACTCCAAGAGCTGCTGCAGGAAGGAACGTCATAATCCCGGTTGATAGCTACCTGTGTGTCTCGCAGGGGAACATGTCCATCACTGTCTGCCACGGAGGAGACCCCATCCCTAAAAGTCCATTCAGCATCTCTGTAGCCCCCCCACTGGACCTGAACAAGGTCAAAGTTCATGGACTAAACAACAGTAAGTGTGTAGAGCACAGTCAGGCTCGGGGGGGGGGGGGGGGGGGGGAAATGAAGCCTAGCCCTAATAAAATTTAGCTGTGCTGTTAAGAAAAAGTCTCAATAGTCACACAAGTCTGCCGCTTGTCTTCAATCCAAAGAGGTGGACGTTGGGAAGGATCAGGAATTCTCCGTCAACACTCAAGGGGCTGGAGGTCAGGGGAAACTGGATGTCAAGATCACATCTCCATCACATCATTTAATCCCCTGCAAGCTTGAGTCAGTAACAGCCGGTGAGGTTCAGAAAGTGAAATACATCCCTCCTGAGGAAGGACTGTACCAAGTGGAAGTCACCTGTGATGGAAACCCCATCCCTGGAGGTCCCTTCACTATGGAGGCCATCATGCCCCCCGACCCTTCAAAGGTGAGTCCGTGTAATGTCTTGGCTCATCTTCTGTTTCTGAGACGTCCTCTCTGAGTCTCGACTGGTTCACCCTCAGGTGCGAGCCTACGGTCCTGGTCTTCAAGGCGGTCTGATGGGTAAACCAGCCCCCTTTGCTATTGACACAAAGGGTGCTGGAACTGGTGGACTGGGCCTGACAGTGGAGGGGCCCTGTGAGGCCAAGATTGAATGTCAGGACAACGGGGACGGGTCATGTTCTGTGTCCTACCTGCCCACGGAGCCTGGTGAGTACACCATCAACATCCTTTTTGCGGACCAGCACATCCCTGGGTCACCCTTCAAGGCTGTGGTCCAACCGCTGTTCGATCCCAGCAAAGTGATGGCCAGTGGACCAGGTCTGGAGCAGGGAACGGTCAGCGAGCCTGGATTGTTGACAGTGGATTGCTCTAAAGCTGGCGAGGCCGAGCTCACCGTTGAAATCCTCTCAGACTCTGGATCCAAAGCTGACGTTTATGTTCAGAACAACGGTAACAGTACCTACTCCATCACCTACATCCCCCACTGCCATGGCATGTACACCATCACCATCAAATACGGAGGACTCCCAGTGCCCAAATTCCCTGCCCGCCTGCAGGTGGTTCCAGCCGTTAATACCAGCGGGGTGAAGGTTCATGGCCCAGGAGTGGAACCAAGAGGTGAATGCCTTCTCAAGCTGTAGCTCGTGGTCTCTTAGCTTTTGTACTGGACCTTCTGGTATCATGTGTGTTTTGCCTCTGCAGGCGTACTGAGGGAAGTCACAACTCATTTCACTGTTGATGCCCATTCTCTTACCAAGAGTGGAGGGAGTCACCTTAAAGTGGACATCTCCAACCTATTAAGCTCCAACACAGATGCCTACATCACCGATAAGGGAGACGGGACCTACAGGGTGGAGTACACACCTTTTGAAGATGGTGAGTATCTGTGGGTGGGGGGCCCAGTTCTGTGTTGGATGCATTCATCTACAGCCTTTAGGTGGAGCGAAGGTCTGCATCTGCTTGTGTCTTCCTCTGCAGCATTAGAGGACAGGCTTTGATTGTCCTTGGTGGGTAACAACAGAGGCAGGAGAGCCTGGACAAGCCTCGGGTTTTAGTAACGGTAGTCAGTCTGAAGAAGCAGATAGTAACATGTCACATGCTGGAGCCCAGTGCATCATGGGACACAAGTACTCTCGGAACTGGAATGCTGATATCCTGGATCTCGGTCAGAAAGGTTTAAAACCCAATGAATGGTTGTTGGTTCAAAACCCAATGAATGGTTGTTGGTTCAAACCCAATGAATGGTTGTTGGTTCAACCCCAATGAATGGTTGTTGGTTCAAACCCAATGAATGGTTGTTGGTTCAAACCCAATGAATGGTTGTTGGTTCAAACCCAATGAATGGTTGTTGTTTCAACCCCAATGAATGGTTGTTGTTTCAAAACCCAATGAATGGTTGTTGGTTCAAAACCCAATGAATGGTTGTTGGTTCAAAACCCAATGAATGGTTGTTGGTTCAAACCCAATGAATGGTTGTTGGTTCAAACCCAATGAATGGTTGTTGGTTCAAAACCCAATGAATGGTTGTTGGTTCAAAACCCAATGAATGGTTGTTGGTTCAACCCCAATGAATGGTTGTTTGTTCAAACCCAATGAATGGTTGTTGGTTCAAACCCAATGAATGGTTGTTGGTTCAAAACCCAATGAATGGTTGTTGGTTCAAACCCAATGAATGGTTGTTGGTTCAAACCCAATGAATGGTTGTTGGTTCAACCCCAATGAATGGTTGTTGGTTCAAACCCAATGAATGGTTGTTGGTTCAAACCCAATGAATGGTTGTTGGTTCAAACCCAATGAATGGTTGTTGTTTCAACCCCAATGAATGGTTGTTGGTTCAAACCCAATGAATGGTTGTTGTTTCAACCCCATTGAATGGTTGTTGGTTCAAAACCCAATGAATGGTTGTTGGTTCAAAACCCAATGAATGGTTGTTGGTTCAAACCCAATGAATGGTTGTTGGTTCAAAACCAAATGAATGGTTGTTGGTTCAAAACCCAATGAATGGTTGTTGGTTCAAAACCCAATGAATGGTTGTTGGTTCAAAACCCAATGAATGGTTGTTGGTTCAAACCCCAATGGTCCTTTAAAAATCACAACATTATAAATGGTTTGGAGTGAATATAAAAAGTCAAACAAATCTTTCTAACCTGACGTAAAAACCCAAAATGTTTCTGCTGGTTTCGGTTCTGAGAGTGTAGCCGGAGGGTGGGGTGGGGTGTGTGTGTGTGTGTGTGTGTGTGTGTGTGTGTGTGTGTGTGTGTGTGTGTGTGCGTGTGTGTGTGTGCGTGTGTGCGTGTGCGTGCATTTTACACAGCTCCTTCTGAGGCTCTAAAGCGCCTGAAGGTGCTTTACAACACGGTCATCCACCAAAGCCATACACATTCACACACTGGTGCTGATAAGCTACAGTTGGGCTTTTCTATCTGCACCTCTCAGCCACAAACACACAGCTCACCCCAGTGTCATTGGTTTTCCTGCCAGCACGTCATAATGTGCCAAACGCAAAAGTGAAAAAGTGATGTTGAACAATCTGCTCAGTTTTATGGCTTGTTGTCGGACTCTGAAACAGGAAATGCAGCTAGAAAGCTCCCGAACAACCAGTGACTCCGCCCCCTAGTCAGTGGACCAGCTCAGAGTGCTAGGAACCACAACGAAGCAGGGACTGAAAAGTAGAGTGGGAGTAAGGGGGAAATGTACACAACCATGTTGTGAGAAAAGGTGGCGAGACCAAGCCGCGCCCTCCCGAGTCACGCGTAGTAGAGCTGATGGATGGTAGCAGCAGCTACTCTGGGACACACTGATGGAGGGCTGATGGAGCTGTTGGGCACATGCACCACCCTTCACTTCGACCACCACCAACAGGCTAGGCAGGTTCAGTGTCTGGCCCAAAGACACGACTGTAACAGACAGGGCTTGAACCTGCAGCCCTATGGTTACATGTCAGGCACTTAACTTGTCTTCCACCATCACCACTTCTGGCATAAAAGAGTCACAATTAAAGCCCTGAGCTTGGTTTACCTCACTAAGAAAGACTGGATCCAGACAAGGGCCGTGTTGCATGCAGGGCCGGACTGAGACAAAAATTCAGGCTGGAATTTTGAAACTGTCCCAGGCCACCACTCGATTCACGCTGAACACTAATATTGAGTCCGGTTTGGCGCCTACTGATGTAAAGGTTTAAAACAACTAAATTAAAGCTTCAAATGTGCCCTGATGCTTTTCTCTACGATATAAATATGTGTTCTGCTGCCATAATCTGTACTTATGTTGCATAAACTAAAATTCTGTTAAACGTGCCTCCTGCTCAATGTTCTCCTCTTATCTCTCTGAGCGCTCCTTCTCTGTGGCCGTCTCCAAGTTTAGGTCCTCCACCACCTCTCTTACCCATGGTGTCCCACAAGGTTCTGTGCTGGGGCCTCTGCTCTTCCTCCTCTATCTGCTTCCTCTTCAGCACATCCTGAGCTCCTTTAAAGGAATCTCCTACCATCTTTATGCAGATGACATCCAACTGTACATCTCCTTTAAGCAAAGAAAGGTTTTGTTACAACATCTAGCTTCCATTACATCATTTCACACATCACATTCAATCACTTCATCCATTCATATCCATAATCTCATTCATACCTTGTCATGTACAATCATTAGTTTAGGGAAATAGAAATAAATTCATTTTTATAAACTATAAACTGACTCCGTCTGAATTAATAGGAAGTGTGTTTATGGTCCCTGAACAAGTAAAATTAACTATAATCTTCTGATTAAACATTCAAAGATCAATCAGGTCCATATTTCATATTTATATGGAATTATCTGATTGATCATTTGTTACATCTGTAGCCACTCCTTCACGCTACAACAGGTAGAGGGGTGTTGATAGGGGTCGAGCCTGGGTTCTTTAATCTTTTCCCAGCTTGTAGGGCAGTGCCTGTTTGGAGATCTCCACCACAATTATCGTAGGAGACTAGCAGCAGAAGCAACAGCTCAGATGGCTGTAGCAGACCAACTCAGCCTAATGAGAGGTACTGGTGGAGGAGCTTGGTGGCTGGTGTGGAGGTCTGGGCTCAGTCTGGTGGCCGGGGTTGGTGATGTGGAAACCCTCACCTGCCATTGAGAAAGAAAGTTGTCTAAAAAAGTCCTGGTAGTTAAGTAATAGCATGTGATGTGTAGCAATTAATACATATTAATTATGACCAAGAAGATGTGATAGTTCATATAAATATGAAATATCAACCTGATTGATCTTTGAATGTTTAATCAGAAGAGTTTAGGGTTCTTTGCTTCTTCAGGGATCATAAACACACTTCGTATTAATTCAGACAGAGTCAGTATGTAGTTTATGAAATGAATTTAATTCTTTTCCTACACTAATAATTTATACGTGACAAGATATGAATAATGAGAGGTGGTGTGGA